GTCTTCTTAGTCCAGTTGGCAGGGATTCTATTGTATTTATTTTTCAAAGAAATCTCTTTCCTTGTCAATGTAATTAACACAATGCTTATGTATTATACTCATAAACTGAATATTATACAGTGAAAAATTCAGATCAATAGTCAGCTAATAATTATGTCATGTCATGGATTTATTGATCCACCCACTCATATTTGAGCGAAGTTTGTTAACTTCTCAACAAATTTCTTTTCGTTTCTTTATATTTTCTAGATCAGCTAAATACACATAACTGTGCACAGATGTATTAGAAATTATATCAAACATATAAATATCGAATATATCTATAAAAGGCAGGATGTGTGTGTGTGTGTGTGTGTGTGTGTGTGTGTGTGTGTGTGTGTGTGTGTGTGTGTGTGTGTGTGTGTGTGAATGTGTGCGTGTGTGTGTGTGTGTGTAACGAATGCACGGCCGCAATTTTCGACGGATTTGCACCAAAATTTACATGCACACGCTCCAAATTAGCGGGAAGGCCAAGACCGACTTTGCATTCCCCAATTCCCTTCGATAGTGGAAATAATCGATTTTTTCATGCTTCTACGGCAGTTTTCATGTAGTTTTCGGCCATTTTGTACTGGCCAGAGTGAGAGCCTATAGCTGGCTGCCACAAATAGGCAGGAAGATTCTATTGGCCAGCGTGAGAGCGAACAGCTGACTGACACGAATGTTAACTAGCATGTTAGCATGTAAAAAATATCGATAGCTGCATTCGTCACAAGTGGGAAAAATTTAAATCTGCATGGCACTTTACACCAGTTGGCTCATACGCTTGCTTAAACTCAACGTTGATTCTGATTCCGCAGAACTGGGTTGGGTGTGAAAAAGTATTTGTTGTTAACATTCTTTTTTCATTTGGTTTTTCCAGTTACGAGTCCTTTTTTAAAGCTGATCGTTTTGTGTTCATTTTGTTTAGTTCTTTTTTCGTAACAGTTTAGTATAGAAGGCTGTAGCAACATCAGCACGGCAAAAGGCACTCCTTTAAAGGCAAGGAAGGGCAAAAATATTTTAAGTCAAGTGATAGCGATTGCTGTATGAGTCGTACGATTTTTGAATCAAGCACAGGCAACGCCGGGCCATGCTGCTAGTCGAATATATAAATGTCGAATATATAAATATAGGTGCCTCTAATGTTTTTTCTAAAAAGAGCATACTATGATGAAAAAAAGGAACCAAACTTGAAAAAAAAACAAGTTTTATCGTCAAAATGTGTTATTAAAAAGAAAGAGCAAGATATGTTTTTAATTTTTCATTAATTTTTTTTTTTTTAATCCTTTACAACACGTTCGAAATTTTAGTTAGAAATCTTGCTTTTCTTGCGTCAGCGGGTGCTCGCCAAAGATTAGTATAGAGATTTTTTTTCTTCTTTGACTTTAAAAACACATTCTTTTGAAAATTCTTTGGGAAATTCTTGCAAAACAATTAAACAACTGTTGGATTTTAATTAAATTTTCTGAGCATATTCAAAAATTAATTAAATAATTTTTTAATTTTTGTTTTTTTTTAAATCTTAATAAATATTTTTTGCATCTGTTACACCCACCTAATTAATTTTACGAAATTTCGAAAAAATTAAAATATTAGCCTCTTTATATTTGTATTATTTAAAAGCAGAATTACTTGGAGAATTTAAATCATCAATTTGTTTTTTCAAACAGAAACACCATTTAACCAAAATCCGCTCTGAATCGTAAAATTAAAAAATGAAATAAAACTATGACATTATTTAATTAGAAAAGCTTTTAGAATTGCTCTTATAAATAAGATATATTAAGAATACTACTGACTTAAGAAAAAAAAATTTGATGAATAATGAATTTTTACAAGAATTTTCTTCATTTTCCTTTTTTTTAATTTTTATTAGAAAAAATTATTGAGTTTTAAATCTTTTAAAATTCTGTATTAATTTCAGCTTTTTAGATGATATTAATATTAAGTGAAAACTATATTTATTAATCATAAATGGAAAAGCTTAATAGAAATCATGAAACACCAAGACTTTTTAAAGAATTTTGAACATATTTTATGTATAAACATAACGAATTTTATAAGTACGGGTGACCATACACGACATTATCAGAAAATAAATGCGATAAGTATAGTAAATTTAAAACCGACATATCTAAAATTCAATACAACAATAGATTACGTAGAATATTTTCCTACATTTTTAAGATTACTGAGTATTTCAAAATTATATAAAAAAACGTACTCACGTCATTTTCTTAAATCATGTTTTACAGATAAAGTCTCCGTAGAACAACATTACACCTGTCATCAGGCTGTCAATAGATCAAAACAGCTACTGTCGGGTTCCAAAATGCATTTCTGTGATATTTTAAACTTAAAGTAAATAATGTTTGTTTAACATTAGATTAATTATACTTTAGATCAGTTAATATTCCTGAAATAAAGTTTCAGTAAAGTATATTTTATTTTTGGAGGATTTTTTTATAAAGAGAATTACATTACGATGAAAGACGACTGAAAAAAAAGGCGCAAATCATCTATTTTTGGCAAAAAAAAACCCCTCCTCCCAGTCAATTAAAATTATCTTTAAATATTTTGCTTCTTGGAAATATTAAATTCAATCTAGCAGCTTGAAATTAAAACTAAAATAAAGGTCGTTGATGATGACCAAATCGAAACGCTGACCCAAAACCAATACACGGCACGGGACATCGCAGCGATACTCCACATACTTTCAGATTTTAAAACATTTGGATACGTGAATATCAACTATGATTTAACGGAAAAAATTTAATGGCCCACATTTTCCACAAGCAATATTGCTCAAACGCAACAAAAGCGACCCATTTTTTCAAACAATGACCACAAGCGATGAAAATGGATCGTGTACCACAATGTGAAGCGAAACAGTCCTAAGTAAAACGAATTAAACCACCGTTAACCATATCAAATCCGGTCACTATCTGAAGAAGGTGATGCTCTGTATCTGATGTGATGGAAAGGGCATTGCGTATTACGAGATACTGCAAAATCATACGCTGAATTCAGACAAATGCTGTTCCCAGTTGGACCGATTAAAGACATTAATCGACGAAAAGCGTTCGGAATTAGCCAATCAGAGGTGTTCCGTCTTCCATCAGGACAACACTAGACCTCACCTTTCGTTGCAGACTCGGCAGAAAAAAACATATTTGTTTATTTGTCATTTACGTCTGTACAGTGAAATATTCTGAAAACTAAATTTCTTTTTTAAAAAAAAATCTATGTTTATAGACCGACATATATAATAAATAAAATCAAAATGGAAGAAAATATGTCTGCCGAATAAAAAGGATTGCAAACTCGATTAAAAGATTTTAAAAATATATTAGACAAAAATGGACTTGTAATCTTTGCGACTTATTTGCTTAAAAATAAGAGGAAGCAAGCCAACCGGAAACAGATTTTACTTCCTCTATTACCCTCAGAGAATTGTCCGGATGTCTCGCGAACAAATGTCAATGTGACAAATGACAAACTTCAACCATGTTTAAAGTCAGTCTTAGGCTTCTTTTTTCTTTTTTTTTTTCCTTTTTTTAACAAATGAATAAAATTCGTTTGCTTTAGAATATCTGCGGTTTGAGAATTATCTGAATGTGTATAGTAAATGGAAGTATTGCAAGTTTTACGTACATCAGTAACTATATGTATTTTTAATGTTTGGATCATTACATAGAATAAATGGTGCTATAATTTTTTATAATGTTTATAACGAGTTGCGTGTGGTGTTTTAACTTAACCGTTTCGGAATAAATAGTTTTTCATCATAAAAAACTGACGCGTGTGGACATGATGATGGAGTCTTTTGTAACCATTTACAAATATTGCGTATTTTATTTGTTTCTCTTAGATTTAGTCCTACGAATATGCAATGTCTATGTTACAAGCATCTTTTGATTTTCGATGAATAGAGGACAGTAGAAGAAAAACAGTAAAGACGAACGAAAAAAAATGATTGCATTCAGGTTAGATTTCTACAAAAGGTTCTCGATATCTGATGGTCTAGAAAAATTAGTAATGAAATGCATTTTCAATCAAGTAAACATGGAAGTCACATCCTAAAACAATGAGCTCTGCGATGGCTTGACTACTTTCTTCCAACAGATTCAAACAGTTCTGTCCGATAAACACTCACTGAATGTTGTCAAGAAAGGAAAGTAACTCGTAGGCCGACAAAAACAAACCTGGCTATCTGTGTTAAAAAGGATTTTTTATGTTAAACATTGATTTACGAGATGAAAAACATATAAGACAACTGGAAAAAAAACTTTGTAATAACAGAAATATATAAATAAATAAAGGATAAATATACTGATTGATTCGTTTTGTATGGCTTATTAATTCTTTGTGGGTTATTTTTGTGACCAAGTAAATGGTTAAAGTGTTACAGCTATATCATATATTAAACAGTAAGTACGAGAGAAAAGTATTACACGACTAGTGGGTGTGTGTCGGTTGACCCAACGTTCAATCTATTCGACTGTTCACCCAAGGCCTTCTTTCCTACTAATCATATAGTAGGCGGAAGAGTCCAACATAGACTCTTTAGAGGGGGGACACCACAACAGTTATTTAAAGCCAGAAATATCTATGCCGAATACAAAGGATCACAAACTCGATTAAAAGATTTAAAAAATATATATATTAGACAAAAATAAACTTGTAATCTTTGTAATTTATTTGCTTAAAAATAAGAGGAAGCAAGCCAACCGGAAACCGTCTTATTTATTCTTCGTAGGATATTTAAAGCCAGGAAATATTTTTATATTGTAAGAATCCTTTTTTTCTTTTTTGGAGATAATAATGATTTTAGTGATACAAGTCTTACTTACTTGGTAGAGAAGAGGTCGATTCATACCGTTCCCAAGTAATTGAATATAACGAACCCACCGGGAACTGGAACCCGTTCTCCGATTAACAAATCCGAGCCTTTATCCATTACACCACCCGCACAGCTAAGCACCTGGTATTCCGAAGTGGTCATCTAGCTACTGACCAGGCTTGGCATTGCTTAACTTCGGTGATCGTACAGGAACCGGTGTTTTAACATGATATGGCCGGA